CCTGGGGGTCTCCTCTCACTGCTCCCCCCCACCTCCAGGCAAGCGGGGCCGGCGGAACAGCGTGGGGTCCCTGGACAGCACCATCGAGGTGAGGGGACAGTGCCACCCCGAGTGCCACCCCGAGTGCCACCCTGAGTGCCACACCCTTGTCACACCCCCTGAATGTCACACCCCAAGTGCCATCCTGAGTGCCACACCCCAATGTCACACCCCAATGTCACACCCCAATGTCACCCCCTGAGTGCCACCCCGAGTGCCACACCCCCAGTGTCACACCTTGAGTGCCACACCCCCAATGTCACACCCCTGTCACACCCTGAGTGCCACCCCTGAGTGCCACACCCCCAATGTCACACCCCAATGTCACCCCCCCAATGTCACACCCTGAGTGCCACACCCCTAATGTCACACCCCCAATGTCACACACTGAGTGCCACCCCTGTCACCCCGAGTGCCACATCCCAATGTCACACCCCTGTCACCCCCCTGAGTGCCACCCCCTGAGTGCCACACCCCAATGTCACACCCCAATGTCACCCCCCAATGTCACAACCTGAGTGCCACACCCCCAATGTCACCCCCTGAGTGCCACCCTGAGTGCCACACCCCCAATGTCACAACCTGAGTGCCACACCCCTAATGTCACACCCCCAATGTCACCCCCTGAGTGCCACATCCCAATGTCACACACCTGTCACCCCCCTGAGTGCCACCTCTGAGTGCCACAACCCTAATGTCACCCCCTGAGTGTCACCCTCTGAGTGCCACACCCTTGTCACACCAAGTGCCACCCGAGTGCCACACCCTCCCCAATGTCACCCCCTGAACGTCACCCCCTGAGTGCCACACCCTTGTCACACCCCCTGAATGTCACCCCCTGAGTGCCACACCCCCTGAATGTCACACTGAGTGCCACACCCTTGTCACACCAAGTGCCACCTCCTGAGTGCCACACCCTTGTCACACCCTCTGTCACCCCAAGTGCCACACCCCCCGAGTGTCACCCAGTGCCACCCCTGCTGTCACCCCCTCAATGCCACCCCAACCCCGCCCACTTTAGCCCCGCCCCTCACCTGGAAAATGGGCGTGGCCTGGCTGAATGGGCGTGACCACGCACGCTCCGGGGGTGGGGCCACCCACTGATGGACGCACCTATCCACCAATGAGCGCTTAGCTTTGTTTGCGGGGGGCGTGGCTAATGAGCGGGAGGCGTGGCTTGCAGGCAGAAGGGGCGGCGCCAACGCGCGAGTGGGCGTGGCTTGGGCGCGCTGACCCCGCCCCCTCGCAGGGCTCCATCATCAGCAGCCCCCGGCCGCAGGCGCGGGGGGGCCCGGGCGGGCCGGCGGCGACCCCCGAGGGGGGCTACAAACCCCCGGCCCGGCCGGTCTCCAACTCCTCGTCCTTCCTGGGCTCGCTCTTCGGCAGCCGCCGCGGAAAAGGCCCCGCGGGGCCCCCCCCGGGCGCGGGGGGTCCCACCTCGGCTTCGGCCTCCTCGTCCTCGGCGTCTTCCTCGCATCACCACCACCACCACCACCCCCCGCCCGCCGCGCCCCCCGAGGCTCCCTCCAAGCTGCAGGCGCTGCACGCCCAGTATTGCCACGGGGGTCCCGGGGGGGCCGCGGCGGGAGCGGGCGGGGGTCCCGGCCCTCCGCCGCCCCCCCCGTACCCGCAGCAGCCGCCCCCTCCCAGCCGCCCCGCGCCCCCCCCGCCGCTGCCGGCCATCGCCGCCGGGGCCCCCCCGCGCTTCCACGGCGGGCCCACCCCGCCGTTATCGGCGCCCCCTCAACAGCACGGCCCCCCCGGCGGGGGGTTCCCCCCACCGCACCCCCATTACACCCTGCACCGGCCCGGGAAAAGGGGGGGGGCTCCGCCCGGCGCCCCCCGGCAGCCGCTGTCCCCCCTGCCCCTCTACAGCCCCGCCCCAGCCCACCACGGGCTGCCCCACGCGTACCCGCCCGGGGGGGGGGGGGGCCACCACCCGCCGCCGCCGCCCCCCGCCCCCGCCAAGCATTTCGTCTTCGGGGGGGGGGGCGGCGGAGTTGG